AAGAATTTACACAATTAATACATACCAAGAATCTTTGAATTTTTCTTGCACGTTCAACAGTTTGCTAATAAAAGATAAATTTAAAACAAATTTTCATAAAATTTTTTATATAGATATAACTATTTGATTTACTTACTTTATCTTCTTCTGACAGTTCATCCATACCCAAAATGGCAATAATATCCTGCAAAGATTTATAATCTTGAAGAATCTTTTGAACATCGGTAGCGACCCTATAATGTTCTTCTCCAACTACACGAGGGTCCAATAAACGAGATTTCGAATCAAGAGGATCCACAGCCGGATAAATACCGAGTTCGGCAATACCACGTGATAATACGGTCGTTGCGTCCAAATGACTGAAAGTTGTGGCTGGAGCCGGATCAGTCAAATCGTCTGCCGGTACGTATACAGCTTGTACGGAGGTGATGGATCCTTTTTTTGTTGTTGTAATTCTTTCCTGCATACTACCCATATCAGTACTTATAAAATTAACAATTACATAAAATTGAATTTTAAAACAAATGGGTTTAAATTAGAAATAATAATTCATAAAATAATTTTAACGTTTTTAATTTAAACAACTTTACCATACCTTAAGGTAGGTTGATAACCCACAGCGGAAGGAATACGACCTAACAAAGCAGATACTTCGGAACCAGCTTGAGTGAAACGGAAAATATTATCAATAAAAAGCAATACATCTTGTCCTTCATCATCACGGAAATATTCGGCAATGGTAAGACCAGTTAAAGCGACACGAGCACGTGCACCCGGTGGTTCGTTCATTTGACCGAATACAAGAGCAGCCTTTGATTTACCATCAAGTTGAATTACACCTGTTTGAATCATTTCGTGATACAAATCATTTCCTTCACGAGTACGTTCTCCTACTCCACAAAATACCGAATAACCACCATGAGCTTTGGCAATGTTGTTGATAAGTTCTTGAATCAATACAGTCTTTCCAACGCCAGCACCTCCAAATAGACCAATTTTACCACCTTTTGCGTAAGGAGCTAATAAGTCTACAACTTTAATACCAGTTTCAAGAACTTCTGGTGTTGTAGATTGATCAACGAATTCTGGTGCATCGGCATGAATTGGAGACAACTTTTTAGTTTTAATTGGGCCTCGTTCATCGATAGGTTCACCGATGACATTAATAATACGTCCTAAACATTCTGGACCAACAGGAATCCTAATTGGTGCCCCAGTATCCACGACTTTTTGCCCACGGATGAGACCTATGTCGAATTTAAATGATATGTATTATATATACATAACTCATAATTATTGAAAATATTTCGAAATTTTATAAAAGATTATTTACC